TATTGTCTTGATAAAATAATATATTACGCCTACGATAAAGGGAGATTGAATTTTCTTTTAGTCTTAAATTCCTCATCTTTTGCCCCATTTCATCCTCCGTTTCCAACATCATATACTCCATTTTTGTGGGACCGACTATAGCACAATGTTGGTTAGGGATGGATTTACTGTTTGGAACACAAAGTGGACTGAAGGCCCTCTACTTAAATTTCAATTTCCAAATCTGTATGAATCAGTATCTCGGAGAAAAGTCATTACTAAATTAGCCAAAGGTCACTAGGAGAATGTAATTAGATAATTCAATATTGAGCCTAATAGTGGGACTTGCAGGTATTAACGGGGATAGAACATGGAAGCTTATTGTTTGTCAACCTAGTTTTTTTTGGATTGGGGAAGAGTAATTTTGATGCATAGAATTTTCTTCACCCTAGTTTTGAGTATGGTGCAAATGTACAAATGTTCATGAGTGACACATGATTGTATTTTTTTTGAGAAAATATTGTATGAATTTTCTGATTTTTAAACTTATTTTGCATATCTCAACTTTTCGGTATCGAATTTATTTAGAAACTATCAACATGACCCCTCATCCCCTCCCTCCCATCTTTTACCACATAGGGACATCCTCCTCCCATCCCTATGTTGTTTCATGTGGTCGAAGAGGAATTGTTGATCTCAAATTTCATGTAAAAAAAATGAGAAAAGAGGGGAGGGAGGGGATGATGGGGGAAGTTTTATGAGAAAATTTTATGCCGCTTAAAAGGAGAAAAGTTGGGAAGGGCTGTTGTGAGAAAAGTTTGGAAATTAGGGGTCAATATGATATTTTTCTTATTTTTATTTTTATTTTCTTTTCATTTGTTCCATTTATTCGTGGATCCCTCTCTCTGTCCAATTTTTTAAATTGAATTAAATTAAAATTACAGCTCAAAAGAAAATAAAAAAAAGAAATAACCATATACATTGAAGGATCTAAAATGCTTTTAACAAATTAAGTGCAATACGAGATGGGATTGTATACAATGAGACTATTTACCTTTTATACAAGAAGGTCATAATTACTTATAAACATCTCATGTGAAATATAGTTAGGGTATCTCACAAAGTTCGAAAAATTTTCTTAAATTTTGAGCTTGATCAATGGAATAAATGCGGCCATCTAATTTTACATTTGATGGTCAAGATTAGTGGTTTTAAAAAAAGATCGGTGCCCCGGATCGGGCACCCCAAAAACCCATCTGGATCGGTGAATGGCAATCCGGATCGGAAATTGGCCGAATCGATCGGATTAAGCTTTAAAAAAATTAGAAAAAATTATTAAAATTCTTTATAAATGTTGTTTTTTAATAAACCAATAAGAAATCGGGGTACTACATTATTAATTTTCATTTTTTTCATCAATATGTGAATATTGAGTTTTTTTTCTCTGTATGAACTTATTTTAACAAAAATACTTGTTGCATTTTTGACAAAAATAAGAAATAAGTTTTTTTTGACCAAAAAACGAACTTATTTTAACAAAACTAAGAAATGAGTTTTTTTGACAAACATACTTGTTGTATTTTTTTTTATAAGAACTTTTTATTTTTTGGACAATAACTTTTTATTTTTTATTTTTTTGACAAAAACCTTTTATATTTTTTGACAAGAAAAAGAATTGATAAGAACCTTTCATTTTTTTTATACAAAAATTTTTATTTTATAGATAAGAAAAAAAAAATTGACAAAAAGCGAAATTGATAAAAAAAAAACCTTTTATTTTTATTTTTTAGAAAAAGACTTTAATTTTTTTGATAAGAAAAAAATTTGACAAAAAATTTTATTTTTTAATTCGAAACTTTTTATTTTATTGATATGAAAAAAAATTGACAAAAAGTGAAATTGACAAAAACCTTTTATTTTTATTTTTTACAAAAAACCTTTAATTTTTTTGATAAGAAAATAATTTGACAAAAAAAGAGAGAAAAATTTGACAAAAAGCGAAATTGATAAAAACCTTTTATTTTTATTTTTTTACAAAAAAAACTTTACTTTTTTTGATAAAAAATAATTTGACAAAAAAACCTTTAATTTTTTTTATAAGAAAATAATTTGACAAAAAAAAACAATTCCTCAACAAGAAGAATCAAACCCACGTCTGTCCTCTCAATGAGAGCACACAATAACCGGTATAGTACTTACAAATTAATATTTATAAAACCGTTAACAAAATATATAACATATGAACATTTTAAGTCATCCCATGTCGGTTCATTCGAATAGGGAATCGGTCATTCTTCTACCGTCAAAAGGCATTTTTGTAAAAGCTTTTTTGTAAAAGCAAAATTTGTTAGAGACAGGGAGAGCCCATAGGTCCCCCACACGCTTTGCGGGGCCCTAAGTTTTTTCAAGGGGCTCCACAAGCTTCGCGTGATCTCGTTGCTTCACACACTCTATGGACAATGAGTACAGAATTATTTATTCATATAAATTTGCTTCTCTCTCTTTGAAATGGGACTATGTGAAAATGTACCGGTCTCTAACAAATTTTGCTTTTACAAAAATGCCCTTTGATTGTAGAAGAACCGACATGGGATGACCGCTTCTCGATTCAAATGAGCCGACATGGGATGACCGATTCCCAATTCAAATCGGCCGATTCCATGTCGACTCAGTGATTTTTAAAAGACTTGATCAAGATCAACGATTTTTAAAACACTTGATCAAAATCAATTGTAACCGCTTTGTACCAAAGGTAGATAATCTCATTGTATACTTTTCTATAATAGATTGTCACCCAGTAACGTGGGCTGCAAAGCTAATTGCCCCTTTCACAGATAGGGTGAGGTTTGTACAAGGTTGCTTATATTATAGAAGTAAGCCACACCCCTCAAATTTGTTTATAAATATTGATTGGGTATAAAAAAATGTTATGATAGATTCATCTCTAGATATAAAATTCAAAATTTTAAAAAATAATGCCAATAGAGCATATCAATAAGCACTTAGAAATTTTCTTACAAGATGTATCATTTTTTGGAAAAAATTTATATAAGATTGCAACTTAAAATGTAGAACTATCAAAAATCTATGAGTAAAGGTTATTTTAATGCTGAAAACCCTCTAATCGATCGTCTCGACATCGAGATGTACATAAAAAAGGGTTTTGAGTCCCATAAATGGTGCATCTTACAACACACTATCTAGACCGTCTATTTTCAAGATTTTTATATGTTTATAAATCTACTTGATTTTAATTATTTTCGGAATTTAAAATTTTATAATTAGATTGGAAAATAGGTTTTGAGATAATCTTTAAAATATTTTACATTAAAATTATATATTATGATAAAATTTGAACGTGCGCTTGAAATGGATTGTTTAAGATTGCAAGAAACCAGACCCGTTTTTTTATCATTTTAAATTTTTTTTCTTTAATTTAGTACATCTTGATGCGGAGGTGATCAATTGGAGGGTTTTCCCAGACCGGATGTGCACCTTATTTCAATAAGATTGCAACCTCATGTAAACGTTTTCCTCAGAGAAAAAAAGAAATTTTTATTGCAATCATATTTCAGACATTCGTGCACTCTCTCTCCTCAAAACAAGTGGAGCTTTTATCGTCTCACGATTTCGCGCTCATGGACCAATCCGCTCGAGCTAGAGAGCAAAACCCATCTCCCCATCTTCTTCATGGCTACCATTTCCCCGCATTCCTGCTTTCAACTGAATTCCATTCGATCCTCTTCCCATTACCCATCTCGCCTTTTCATTTCTCCATTGATTTCCCACCCTGGTTCAAATACCAGACCTTCGGTAACCAGAAGAGTTGGTCCTCTGAGGACAAACAATGGTAAAACTAGGGCTTCTTTGGCTGGTCTTGATGGGAACACTAGTGATGTTCTTGGGCCTATTGGCATTTTCAGGGCTACAGGCGAGAAAGTTCAGTTCAATGATCTTTGGGATCAAAATGAGGTATTTTATGTGTATGGTTTTACACTGGTTCTAAGTCTCAGGCAAATTTGCTGCTCTCTCTCTCTCTCT